GAGTAAAACCTGAAACACAGTGAGCCCTTTATCTGATAGCAAAGGCTACTCAGAGAAGTAGTTTCTGAATGTGAAACAAACTTACCCAAACTGTCACGCTCCTGTTTTTAATGTAGACTTGATGAAAATGATGATGCGCAAACGGTGCCTTTGGGAGGCAACTTACACATCAATTGGCTGTTCTTATTTCTGAAGTGGATTAGAGTAATACTTATTTTCTTGAGCACTTTACTTAGACTTTTGAGAAAACTGTGCTTTAACATCCTACATAATAACAGTGGGTAATTTAATCAATTTAAGAGTCACAGTAATTTGTATTTTCTTGCAGAGCACGTTAAGATTTACCTTAACAGCCTTACCTATGGGGAGGGGGGCGTAAGTCTCTAATACACCTGGTTGGCTTGTTTCTAGGATGTACTTAGAAACTGCAGTAAGCAGTGCAAATACACACAGAGCCTGTGAGGTGAAGCCACTCGTGCCGGCACGCTTTTAAACTAAATAACAGGGCTTACTCAGAGTTGGAGGCTAAATGAAACCTGAACTTGTGTATCTGCTCTTGTCTGGATGCGTTTGTTCTGAAACATGCAGAATGCACTGGTACAGCCCGCAAGTTTGTGTGATTAAGGTCAAAGGTCAAAAGAGAGGAGAGGCAGAGAGGAAATTGCTCCAGTGGGTTTTTTTCTGTTCTTTTGCAGAAAGATTAGTTGATAATTAGAATTTTTCCATAACTCAATAATGAACTTTTAATGCTTTTTATTAAATCATATCCAGCAGATTAAAGATTAGAACCCATCACGTCACTTAAGCTGTTTCAACAAAACTTTAGGAAGCTTTCTTGTGATTATGTGCAGCAGTTTTTAAAATGTAAGACATTGTATGTTTCAGACTTTTGTTTTTCCTCATCAGCCTACACTCAGTACATGATGACCATGCTAAAAACATTTTTTTTTAATATGTTTTAATATGAAATATCTCTTTTATGAAGGACACCCCTCACAACTACTTAATTGAAGTACCTTTGTGTGCCGTCTTTTTGTGAATGGCCTTAAAGGTTGGGTACATTTAAGCACAAGCAGGTTGCAGCCATTTCCAGGTCCTTCCAGAAATGATTCTCTGTTGGCTCCAGATGTTGACAGATGAGGTTTCTTGACGTTGTGCTTTGGGTTTTTGTCTTGTTGAAATGTAAACCTTCACCCAAGCCTGAGGTCCTGAGCTTCCTGGAAAAGGTTTTCAGTCAGAATGGATTCATATTTCTCTGGATGCATCTTTCCCTCTGCCCTGATTGGTCCCTTGTTTTAGGGACTGTCGCTGAAAGGCGTGATGCACAGTCTGATGCTGCCACCACCGTGTTTGACTGTAGGGACGGAGTTAATGAGGCTGCTTTTCAGCGCTGCAGAAATGGTTCCCCCATAGGTCTGTGCACTGACACAATGATTTCTCGCAGGTCTGTGGAGCTTATAGCTTATTTTTTTTCCCAGCCTTGATATGACCCAATTTCCAAGTGTACAGGTGTCTCAGCTAAACACCTACCTGTAACCGGCTATGCTTTGCATTCTGGGATGTACCACAAATGTGTAGATAAATAAATAGATGATAGCAGGCCGAGCTGAAGATGCTCAGGTTTTGAGTGAGTGATCAGGATGGACAGGAAATGAGTACATCAGAGGGACAGCACAGGTTGAGCAGTTTGGAGAGAAAGTTAGAGAAGCAAGGCTGAGGTGGTTCGGACATGTGCAGAGGAGGAATAAGTGGATATATTGGACAAAGGATCTTGAAGATCGAGGTAACAGGCATGAGGAAAAGAAGCTGAGCACAGAAGAGGTTCGTGGATGTAGTGAAGGAAGACATCCAGCGGGGTTGGCATGACAGAAGAGGGTAGGGTGAGATGGAGACAGATGATTCCCTAAAGGGAGCAGCCGACAGAATATCTATTAGTCCAGAACACAGCACCTTCTTCCTGTTTTTACTTTTTGTTACCGAGACACATCCATCCAGTAAGAGGACTGAACGTCCTTATGCGGTTTGTAGTGACGACTTTTGGATCACCTCGAGGTCACTTAGAGCGTTCTCTGTGCAAAAAGAAACCAAACCAACAGGAAAAAGCTACAAGTTTACAAGCTCGTCGGCTAATTCAGACCAGAGTAGCTAGAAAATTGATGACCCTCGGATAGCTGTGGACTCGGGTGAATTTTTAGAGGCAGCCTTAAGGACCACTGACAGAAACAGGATGCATGACAGCTCAATTCAGAATTTTTTTTTTTTTTTAATTTTCTATACACATTTGATTGATATTCTGTATTTGCGTGGTTGTCAAATTCTATGGAACATAACAAAATAAAAGGGCCTGAAAACTTGCAAGGAAATTGGCACAATTATTAAATCAGATTGGAAAACATGACAGAAATGGTTTTTTCCAAGAGTGACTTTTTCTTTCTTTTTAAATAGAATAATGGGAGGCCGTTGGTATTACCTGTTAATGGGTTACGAGTCAAAGTGTCTGTCAGAAACACAAAGCCAGACAGCGGTTGTTCCTGGCTGAGAACTAACAGTTCCCTCAGGAAGCTCAGATTTGGAGAAGTGCAAAGAGTTTGCATGTAGTTTAAGTGCGTTCCCACTCAGAGTGCCATGATTACAGCGAGGACTACAGATAATTCATCATTAGGAGAAGTTCTGTGCAGGGGGGAAAAAAAGGGCCTTCTTTAAAGTCTGCCAGTGTGTTGCTCACTGACATGCCCTCAGTGCATGAGTTATTATCCCAACTGATGTCACCACATCTGCAGGAGGGATACATTTGTTGCTTAGCAACAGCTAAAGCTCTCAGCATGCTAGCTGCAGTTCAAATTTGATATACTTCTTGACTTTTGGCACTTAGTTATGCTACAAATAACATAGAGTATTTCTCACTATGGTCACCGCAAAGTATTATTCTGAAACAGTTCACATTTTCCCCCCTTTCTCATTTGTTGTCACAGCAGTTTCCTCTTAAATTTGCTCTCGACATGTGGTTAAGTGTCATACATGCTATCACCATTATTAATGCTAGGATGCATTAATTTAAAGTGTAATATATACATACATACATACACACACACACACACACACACACACACACACACACACACACACACACACACACATATATGTATATATATATACTAAATCTAGGTGAAATGAAACAGTGGGGAAGACATTTCACAGCATGCTAATATATCAGTCAAAGCATAAATGTCATGTGGGTCAGGTAAAGCCAGGCCACAAGCAAAAAAGAAAAATCTGGTCCCTAAATTTAAACATGCAGGGGCTAAATGGACACCCAGGTAAACAAATGAATCTAGTTTTAGAAGAAAATGAGAGCAGAAGCAGATGAGTGAGAGAATCCAGTGTTTGAGCGAGGTAAAAGCTTTGTTTTGCAGCAAATGTTTTCATGGAGGGGTTGAAGAGGAGAGGGAGGGGGGGGAATCAAACTGATATTTAGCCCCTACTGGCTTTTTTTTTCTCCTGCTTTTGTTTTATGCAGGGCTCTTTTTACCACATGGTAGTGACAGATTGTTTGAGCTGAAAGGAAAAGCCATTCGAAGCTAATTAAGCAGCCATTCCAGGCACTGTTCGCAGGCAGGAGGGAGAGTAGCACAGGCATTTGTCAGCGCCGTACCCAACGTGGGTTTAATTGACAACTAGGACTCCTGACTGACAGCTTTTCCAGCCCCTAGCCAATGGTGAGCCGCGCAGGAAGACAGCTGCGAGATCATTGGATGAAAGGCGGTGAAGTGGAGGGAGAGGGGGTGGAGGGAAAGAGGGAACCCACGTGGGGCAGGGCATAGTGAGAAACACGTGATAGGCTGAGGCGCAGACGTGTTGTAGCCTACCTAGTGCTGCTGATAGGAAAGCTTGTAGATGCTTGAGGTCTCGTTAGAAATAGGTCGATCAATTCAAGTCACTCAAAGGACACTCTGCTGTAGATGAAGGGGTATTCACATCTGCGCACTTCGAGTCTTGAATGAAATTCTATGAGCGCGTATTATTCTTGGCACAGAAATAGGACGTATTTCTTTTTCTTGGCATCTCTAGCTCTCTTTTTCAACCGAGAGCGCAGTGAAATAGTCAAGCTTCAAACTATAACCTTCTTTTTCAGGGTCACGCCAGCTTCAGTTATAATTGCTCATATAGTGAACAGATTTTGAAGGCGAAAAGCTTTTATTAAAATGATCCCTTCTATTTTCGGGGTGGGTTATTTTCTCTATTTGAGAACGAGACTTGTTTTAAATTGTACAGCTCGTTGGTACATACCGTGTAGTATTGTGAAACACCCGCTGCAGTGCACGGACATATAAATTATTACCTTTGTTTTGAACAAGTTGTTGAACGCACCGAATGTCACTTCAAATCCAAAATGGCGAACATGCGAGGTCACATATCGTGGCCCAATCAGAACGCGACAGTGCTGTGTACCCCACGTGGGACTGACGTGCTGTGATTGGTCTTCGGCGCTAAACTCCTCCGGAGAACCCAATTGGTTAGCGCGAGGCCCCTCTCTCGGCAGTCGGGTCCTCGTGTCAGTGCACAGTCTGTGTGTGGTACAGCGCGCGGCAGAGGAACTGGGTACCCAACTGCAGGCTGGCGGTGCGTTTCACAACGGCCGACATTTTAAACAAGAAAAAAAAAAAGAACCGCTTGAGTCGCAAAATAATAATCCCTGGACTTACTGGAAGAGTTTCGAGCTGCTACTGGATCTAACAGAGGCTTTCTTTGAAGTTGTCTGCGGTCAAAAACTCGTCCCAGTCGAGGGGTTTCCAGCGTCCGAGCGGACTGAGCGGCGCTCTCAGTCTCGGGAATCACCGGGGCTTTTAAAGGACTCTCAAGGGGGCAAAGAAGAGCAAAGAAGTGTATGAAAAACAGAAACGACGACGGACAATTGTCTGCGGCGAACGTTACAGATTACCGGATATTAAGCTTCGTGTGGATAATATTTTTTTCATATACATTATTCTTACCTGTGCAGAGGAGAGGAGGAGAGGAATCAGTCGAGACAAAGGTAAAAAAAAGGAAAAAAAGAGGGGGGTTACATGAAGAGAGCCGCTAACAAGACGGGTGGTAGTAGTGGTGGCGGTGGCTTTATGGCAGCCGACTTTGAAAGCAGCAGCTCCTTGTTTTCTGATCTTCCAGGACCACCAAAAACAACAGTTGCGTGTTTTCTTTACCCTCTAGTGGAAGACGACTCGTTAGATTTACGAGGAAAAAGCCAAAAAAAAAGCGCATCGTGTCGTTGCGGGTGTGATCAAAAGTCTAAACTTTGGGATTTATTTGATCCGTGGCATCAAACGCATTTTGCTGCCACTCTTGGTTTTCTTTTTCCCTTTCTTTTCTTTTGCAAATCTAGACGACAGATTTGTTTTGTGGTACACACGTTCAGAGAATTAGTGGGCAACAAAAAAAAAGAAAACTACTTTATTCTGCATTTTGCACAAGGTGTATCGGAGAGTTCATAAAGCTCTACGTTCGTGTTGCTTTCAGGCGCTGTGAACGTGATCCAGCTGTTTTCTGTTTGTTTAGGTACAAAAGAAAGGAGCTGATCCATCCGCTGGGCTGGCTCTGAGTGTGCGCCTCGCAGCCGAGAACGAGGCTTTGTCCGCCGCCATCCTGCGCATATCGGGGAGGGGGTGGCGGGGATTTACCGCACCTTCACTGGGATTACGGAAAGAAAGCACGAGAAAAACAACACACCGACTCCCGTGTGAAAAAAAAGACTAGACATGTATCCACAAGGCCGGCATCCGGTAAGTCCCCCGTCTTTAGTCGCTGCTTGTAAATTGATGCAGAAGCGCTGCCCTTCAAAATGGCCTAATTAGCTCGTCAGAGTGAAGCTGCTGATCCACACCTTACTATTTATGGTCTGCATCAGTGCTGCTGAGGGCTTCACTGTGGCAAGGAGAGGCACGGAGAGGTGGTGTTTATTGGAAACAAGATCTGAGATTGTGTTGAACTCGTAAAGTAGATCATCAGTTTTTTTTCTTTTTACAGTCCTGAAAGTTAATTGTGCAGTAAAAAAATAGCACTGTGTGATTTAGAGACTCCACATGGCAAACGGATAAAGTCACATCTCTGTCACTGCACAAGTTGAGTGAAAGCAGCTCCATCTGCCAGTCCAAGACTCAAGGGAAACGAGAAGACAAACCATTAAAAAAGGACTGAGGGGTGTTATCAAAAAAAAAGAATAAAATAAAGGAGAGGAGGAGGTGCCAAGAGAGAGAGCTCAGCTATGTGATTATGTTATTTACACCTGTGGTATCTCCAATCTCACACTTTTCAGGCTCCTCACCAGCCAGGGCAGCCTGGCTTCAAGTTCACAGTAGCAGAGTCCTGCGATAGGATCAAAGATGAATTTCAGTTCCTGCAGGCCCAGTACCACAGGTAATGACTAGACTACTGTAAAAACCAACGGCTTCCTGGAAACATGAAGCCGTTGATGTTTTGTTCCCTTACTGTAGCTTTGTGCAATCATAACGTGGCGCACAAAAACCAAGCGTTTTGCAGCGGTGTACCGATCCTTTTTACAAACGCAATGCTTTTTCTTCTCCACCCAGCCTTAAAGTAGAATACGACAAACTGGCCAACGAAAAGACGGAGATGCAGCGTCACTACGTCATGGTGAGTACTACAGCTATTAAGCCGAGAACAGGATTTGAATGGCGTTTCCTCCCTTTCGCCTCAGGTGGTGAACAGTCACAGGTGCTGAAAAGAACCTGGTTGTTTTTGTAGAGCCTGTGTTAAGACTGTTGACTCACGTCTGAGTTTTCATGGGATAAGAAGGGAGGGGGTGTGAAACTGTAGCCGAGGTCAAACGTCCAACTATTGATTGTGGGGTGTGACCACCCCCCCTACCCCTCCTCTCAGTGGCTCTGGGGTCCTCTTTATGACCCTCCACCGCCCCTCCCTAACACACCCAGCATGGCCCACTGGGGGTTAATGACTGGTGTGTGTGTGTGTGTGTGTGTGTGTGTGTGTGTGTG